ATATATGCAGTATGTAATGCAGCAGAAATATGTGCAGTGTGCTGTACGAAAATGTACACATATCGGATTTGCAAAACGAGAGCACAGTATTTTTTTGTCGGAAAACTTTTTACCGCATTTCCCTAATCACCAGATTATGAACATTCCTGAGAGCGAGGTACGAAATGCACTCAAACAATCTAAAGGAACAGGCCTTCATCCCTGTCCGGAACATGCCATGTGACTCGTGAGGCAGAGGGAGCAATGCAAAGTCACACCTCCGGCAAGCATTCCTTGGAAGAAGAATCGAATTTCTGTAGGCCCGGGCATCGCATCGCAAGTGGTTGCCCTCCAATGCACGCAAAGAATTCAGAACTGCAACCGTCTGCGTAAAGTCCATCTTGTTTCCCAGCGCAGGAAGCTGTCGCTGAAAAGAAAGTTCTTCAACAAAAAAATCACCAGTTTTTAGGAAACCTTCAACAAGTCACTGAGAAGTTTTTCCAATTTCCAAAATTTCGGCAAATCATGTTCATTTTGCTCAGAGCTTTACCTGGTTGCTCTTCTTGTGCGCCAAATGCCACTTGTTCTGCGCCCAAAGCTTGTGCGGCTTCACATCCCGGTACATTTATCTGAAAGAATTAATCGCTAGCACAGGCGATCACAGTGCAAAGAATCGGTGACAGTACTTTTGCGACGCAGCTGTGTGATTCATGCTGGTAAGCGTAATCATCCGGGCAATGAATCGTGGTATTCTGATTGTCGATGCAAACCATGAAGTCGGAGGAGCACGATCCACTCTCGTAAATTCCATCTGACTTATTTGCACATGGCAACGCAGCTCCTGCAAAACAGAAGGGTGCAAAACGAACAAGCACAATGAATGCCGAAATAAGCCAATCCCAACCTGTACTAGCTGCACCAAATGCTACCGCGGTCGTATTCTCGACGCACCATGGTATGTTGGCCTGAAAATGAAATTTGTGCACACCGATCAGCACTTGTTCAGAAATGCAGCTCCAGAAAAACTCTTACCGGTTCAACACACTGGTTACTTCTATTGTCGTACTTCAGTGGTTCCCTGCAGTACAGATACAAAATATTGCCACCAATACAGATATAAAATTCTGATGTGCACCCATCCGAATATGCACCATTCGGTTTCCCTTCACAGCTAGCTGCACCACTCCCAGCACCTCCTACACGGCGTTTATAAAAGTACAACTTAATTAATCCTAAATACTAGATGAAGCCATACATGGACTCAAAGTACCTGCGACAGGTCGGCTTCCCTCAACTGCTCCCACAGTAGTTGCTTCTTCCTCCACAGGACTTCCTGTTTCCGCTCCTTCAGTAACTCCCTCAGTAACCTCTTCAGCAATCGTCATCGTTGCTGCTGTTGTTATCGTCGTTACTGTTGTTAGCGTTTTCGTACGCTGTCCGCCGTTTACAATTAAATATACAATTGGTAGAACGAAGCTGGCGGCATCTCCCGGACGAGTAACATTGGATGGCTGTTGTTCGCTGGTCGGAACTGTAATGCTGCTGCTGCCAAGTGCACTACTCAATGGTTCTGTGTCAGATCCAGAGCAAGCGGGGACCAGCTGCTCGGCAAGGCACTTCCGCGTTACACTGTCAAATTTCAAGCCATTGGGACAAACGTATTGTTTTAGTGTTCCTCCGCTGCAGTATTGGAATTTTGACGAACATCCTGACGAAACTGGCCCGTCTGGTCGCTGAGAACAGTCAACTGCTGAAAACAAAAGCCAATCATTGCGTGAATTAGAACAAAAAAAAAGCATCTTGCTGATCGAATTTTGTAGCGCCTATCGTGTGACGCAGCAAAATTTTCTGTTTTGTGGACGTACATCCTGGCTTTCCTCCGGATACGGCATCTGCTGACTGCTGACATGCGCGCACCAGCTCCTGCAATACTGAGGGATGAAAAAACGCCATTCTTGCGGGTTTTAAAGCAATGCCGCTCAGAAATCCCGTATTATCGACAGTACCGGGAATGCCAGCGCAACTCCGACTCCTATGACCCAAGGCCGCACACCCCCAGTAGTAAAAAATTTTCGTGCATTTTAAGCACCAGAAAAAAATTACGGTGGTTTCAAAGATGCTGCTTAAAAAGCGTACCTCTTCACGGCACATTTCCGCTTGCACATCATATTTCAGAGGTTTCGGACATCGATAGTACGTGGCTAGGCCAGACGTGCACATTACGAATTTGTCGGTGCAACCACGTGCATATGCACCATCTGCCCTGCCTACACATGTGAACTCTGGAAACAAGAACTTTTTTTTGCTTGCACACAGCGATGTGCTAGGCATACTTACTACGAAATGCTATTCTGACCAGATGTTGCTGCTGGAACAGGCAGCTGTGATCCAAATGCCATTTTTTCGGATTCCGAGATGGGCAGTCCGTCTTGTGTAACATTAGCGGGTGTTCCTCCTTGACAAGCAGCAACACGCGCCTATCACAGAAAATTATCAAATTTGTTTGAATGCTTGAAATTGAAAATTATATACAGAAAAACATGACTGAAAGGCGATTAAAACAGAACTATTCCGAACTGACCAAAAAATCCAGGAAAATCCATTCAAGGCAAAAATGGGAGGAAAGAATTAATTTTTTAATGTAATTCAAACAGACTCAGTCGTTCACCTCCGGTAAGCACAGCATATTTGCGGTATCGTACTTCAATGGTTCGGGGCACTGATACTTGATAGCTCTGCCTGAGAGACACAGAGTCACTTCTGCGCTGCAACCGTCCACATACACGCCGTCCGGTAAACTAGCGCACGAGAACTCTGGAATGACGAGCACTGTTACATTCCATTCATAGAGGGTAACAGAGTGATTAACTGGATACCTGGAGACGATGGGCTTTGCACTGCCGCAACTGGTCTTCCAGAAGCAACCGCTGCAGATGATGCATTTTCTGCGACAACTTCGCCACCACAGGCCGGAACATAAGCCTAAAGATGTTTTGAGCACACTGAGCATTTTCGCAGAGAACTGAGCACTTTCGATGCGAATTGCGCCATTTCCACTGCTTAGCGAATCTGAACAGGCAACTTACACCTCCCAAGCACTTTTTCGTCGATTCATCAAACTTCTCTATGCCAGGGCAGCGCATCGGTATCGGTACTCCAGCGACACACGCATAGAACTCTCCGGAGCAGCTGCCGCGCCCGTACAATCCATCAGCTTCGCCCTCGCAAGATAACGCTAAATAAAACGACGAATAAGTCCGCATCAAAATGATCTATCTATAAGACAGCGGTGATTCAGGAAAAAAACTACCTTCGACAGAAGCGGCAGTCTGCGCCGCCACCGGTGGACGGCTTTCAACCGCTGCTGATGGTCCCTCGTCGTCAGCAATCAGTGGCCTTTGCTCCTCACCTCCACACGTCACAACATCGGACTGAATTATTACAAAAGTCTTGAGAATGATAAAATAATTTCTAGAGCTAACCCAGCTTTTTACAGGTAATTCGGCTCCTGCTTTCTAGGACGACGCTGCTTCCCGGTTTCGAGTTTAACTTAATTCCTAAGCAAAAAATTAAGGAAATCGAAAGCGCTGAAGCGCCAGAAAACTGTCAGTGCAAAATTACCGCTGCTAAGCATCTCACGGACTCCTCGTCGTAAACCAATTCGCCTGGGCACACCATTGGAATTGTGCTGCCGGCTACACAGGCGATGAACGCAGCGGAACATCCTTGACCGTACATACCGTCCGGTAAGAATTCGCATGAAAATTCTGAAAACTGACTCGTTGCGATGCCTGAACTCTACAGACATCAAAGCTTAAAATCTAACCTGCAGGAGCTCCTGTCACTGGCTCTTCCGGAACAAATTCTGTCGCCGGCGTCTCTGAAGTTTCAGCTGCAAACGTTGATTCGGTTGGTACGATCTCGGTTTCCAATGTTTGCGTCTCTGCTGTCTGCTGCCCGGTAGCTTCAGTTACTGGCCCCTCAGGGACGACTGTGGTTTCTACCGGCACAGCTCCGGTTGCCAAACTCTCCGCTGCGACCCCGGTTGTCGATATCTCCGGAATAGCGTCGCTTATTGCTTCCTCCGGAACTGTGGTGGTTAGCTGTTCCTCGATTGCTGCTTGATCAGTTATGACACTGGTTGCAGGTTGCTCTGGAATGACCACACTTGTTGTTTCCCCTGGTACAACTTGCGTGGCTGTTGGCTGACTGGAAATTTCGGCCGTCGGCTGTCCAGGAACCTCGGCTGCTGGCTGTCCAGGAATTTCAGCTGCTGGTTGTCCGGGAATTTCGGCCGTCGGCTGTCCAGGAAC